GAAGGAAAAAAGAAATCTGTTTGCAAGAATATCTGCCATTCAATCACCACAAAGTCACTAAGTAGCAGCAAAGAAAACCATTGAGCCTAACAAATGGCGACAAATGGTGTTCCGCTGCAACTGTTACAGTACAGATTTTGGTATGTGAACAGCAGACCTCCCTTTTGTCAGACAAACAAGACTATCTACCATATACAAGGTGAGTTTACAACATTTAATATGTTTCCATATTTGACAAAAAGATTTGCTCAAAGCCAGTCTTTTCAAAAAATCAAAATACAAGCATATGTCTCACTAGTCCTTTAAAAACCATTCTGAAGTACCCTATCTGCCCTAAAAATGTAGAAAATAGGTGTAGAGGGATTACACCAAAAATTCTTTCCAGCTCTACCTATAATACTGCTAAAGTTAATGACCTTAATTCCTAGTAGACCATCAAATGATTTAATAAATTTCTTCACTTCCTGAAGAGAACTGTCTACCTGTCCATATCCACATCCTCAAAGACGCACCAGAACTCCACCACTGAGGAAAAGTTAAGACTGGAATTTCAAACCAAAGGTCCACTTCATGCCAAACGTTACATATTCCCACCTAACACTTTAACCATTAATCTTTAATTAACAGAGCAGTATATTTGAGTGTTTACCCATTATTCCAATAACTCATGAATTAAAAATAAATACTGAAGTTAATTCTCTTAGAAATGCGGCACACTGCATCAAGACGAATGGTTTGTCTCAATATATCAATGTAAGTAGTACCACCTAAAGACCACAGAAAAATCTATCCAGTAGTTTCAATGCAAAGACTTTCTAAAATACCTCCCACACCCTTCCATTTGTCTCTAAGTTTAAGCTCATCGGAGGCTTAAATCAGAGGCCGACTTAAAGAACCGATCTCCTTCCAAGGAGCCGCAACCTCTCATTTCTGCCAGACTGAAGTCACAGATTGTTTGATTCTTTTGCTCCGCACCTTTCCTCACCTGTTTGTGTATGAACAGGAGAGGGGAGAAAGACTTATACCCCAAAACCCTGGCACACTTCCATCTCTCAAAACCCTACCTGACTGGATTTATTAAAGTCAGTTACATCTCAGGTCCTGTACAGCGAGCACAAAGCAGGCACTGGAGGAGAACAGCAGGGAAATTAAGCCAAGACAACACCTTCTGTCCCTCAGTTTCACCTGAAACTCACCAACTGTAGCAGTCCCAGTGATCCCAACAGCAGCAACAGCTGTTAGTTGGCACAGAGATCAATTAGCATAAATCTGGCCATGGTCATACCAGCTTCCAAAATGGGGTGGCTGCATTTCAGCTTTCTTTTCAGAACAGTCCTTGGCCTGTGCTCACTTGGTAAAGCTTTAGTGAACATAGACCAAAAACATGACAGGAGCCATCCTAATAATTTAACAGTATAGACAATCACCCTCCCAGGCTCATAAACCTTTCCATTATATATGGAAACAGTCAACATCACCTTCATTCTCAGCACATGGAGCCCACTGTGGCTCACTTAACAGATCCTGCAGACCACCTGGCTATTCATTTCACCATTGCAAAAATAAGAAGTGAAAGCTATTGAATGTCTTCAAAATTCATTTCTAATCAACAAAAGATTCTAAAAGTTAACATGCAATAATTATAGTTTAATGTTACCACCTGATATCATCACAGGGCTGTGGTTTAAGCCATCTGGATACTTTACCATCTAATTTTATAGTTTACACACACACAAAAAAAAGCTTCTTGAGTTTATAATGATTGTTCCTGGAATAACTGCAACAGTCCTTATTATCGTCCATATGTACCCTCATCAAATCCACCTTAATGTAGCTTCTCCCTGGCAAAAATACATGGGTATGCATGTGCACTCTGCACGTAAAAACATACATGCTCTGCCAGTCAAGAATAATGCAGAAATAAAGGCTTTTAAACAAATTAAAAACAATTACCCAATACAGCAGTGAGCCTCTGACGCTACTGAATGCAATCTATTTAAAGCACGGCAGATAAGCAGGTGGCTTAGAAGAAAAGAAATTTATAAAGACTCCCCCTTCAGCAAATAGAACATGAACGTACTGGAAGAAAAACAGTGCCATCTACTGACAATATTGGGTTTACCCATAAACCATGACTCCTGATGGACTGATTTGTATCAGTTTCTCTATGCAAAACTATCACAATCTAAAACTACTAAAAGCATCCCATGAACCAGATTGTGCTACAGAATTGTGAAATAGACATTTTGGTACAGTGTCATTCATTTCAAAAACTTGTATGTTTAACTCCGAGCACCACAAGAGCTGTCAATGATTACCAGAAGTTACCCAGCCCGACTACTTCCTCCAAGGCTTTACCTCTGCCATCCATGATACACTTTTGTCCAACCGAATTTTAAATATCTCCAGTGAAGTATATTGATATCTTTCTTCTACAAAGCCTATTCTAGTATCTATCTCTGTTTTTAGAAAATTTTGCTAGAACTCAAACCAAACATTTTTCTGACGTTTAAGGTCTGTATTTCTAATCCTGCTAAAACTGTGTTCTCCCATTCCTTTTCAGAAGCCTTTTACGCACATGGTTCCCCCTTCTTCCCAGCCTTATTTGCCTAGCAACGCCAATTTGTCAGTCATTCCCCATTATCACAATTTACAGACTACATTGTTCTTTGTCTGCTCTCCTTTAAACTCAATCCAGTTTGTCCACATCATCATCTAAAAGCAAGCCACAAAACTGGACACAATCCAGCTTTTTCTGATAAGAGCTGGAAAATTAGTTCATGTATCCTGTGTGCAATGACAGGTGGTAAAGCTCGTAAAAGCCAGCTAAAGTTCAGATCTAGAAAACCTACTACTGTTTCCATAACTGTACAACTTCTTTTCTCAAGGAAAAGATACATCAGACTCTTCTGTTCTTGAGAAGTTAATATTAATTGTTAGCTATCTCCCTATCTTTGCATGTTTAAGTTGCCAATTTTAAATTTTTTTTTTAACATCCCCCTCATCAGTCACTAACATTTCTGACATCATCTTAGTTCTCTAATTCTTTAAGGCATCCTAGGATGAAGTTTTTACAATTTAAAAAAAAAAAAAAATCTATGATCATGACAGTAAAAAAAAAGTCTTTTACAAAACTGATTTCACCTATATAAAGAAGTTGAGCCACAGCTGACAAAAAAGTGTCATCAATCAGCCCTTTAAAACTTGTACTACAAGTTTTTAAGTTGGCTATATAGGTGAGAAAGTATTTTCAATGCTGTTGCAGTCGCTTTGTCTATAGAAGACATGTTTCAATCTTTCCAAGGACTTGCACTATTCTCAGATGTGCTTCTAAAGAAAATTGATCAAGTTCCTGGTTTTAACACTGAATCCTCTCAATGAAGTGGGAACAGCCTTATCAAAGAAAAACAACACTCAGTCAGGAGTAGTATCTCTTGTCTAAGTTTCATCAAAACTTGTAACCTTCCAGAAGAGAGCACTGTTAGGGCTTAACAATACAAGTATAACTACGTCAGTACTTTTTTTTTTTTCTTTCCCATCTAGTTATTTCAGATTGACTTCTTGGGTAGATAATTCACAACATTTGAAGCCAACTTAGTTTAAAACATGTTACAAGTGTCATAAATTAAGAACCAAAGACTTTCTCTGCACCTTTGAAAAATGAAAAGTTGCTTCTCCTTCTCTGTTGTCAATATGTAACCTACTTTCGGTAAGAACATTGCCCTCTAGCTCTTGCATCTTCTGCCAAAAGGATCAAATGCCCACAGTCTACCTGCAGCTTTCTGATAGTCCTTAGAAAACAGCTATATTATTACTGTAAAAATCTCCCGTTAAGATCTAATAACAAAATAAGCACCTCAGTGCTTATGACTGCATTTGATTTGGTTAGTTTGCTACTGAATTTCTAGTATATGGCAAAGAACTTTTTTTTTTAAATAAAAAATGAGCTCCACCTTCCCCAAACTAGACAGAATTTCATTTTTATAGTAGCAATACATTATATATAGGATGTTCTGCATTTGGTTAGTTTGCTACTGAATTTCTAGTGCATGGCAAAGAACTTTTTTTTTTAAATAAAAATTGAGCTCCACCTTCCCCAAACTAGACAGAATTTCATTTTTATAGTAGCAATACATTATATATAGGATGTTATAAATTTCATCACCATCACTTCATGTTAGTCACCTTATTCACATGTTTATACAGCTAATATGAACAGCTTCGTATTTGACAGCATGATGTGTCATACTTTAATTAAAAAAATGTTTAAGTTCCAAAAAGCATTAAGAAAAAAATAATTTTAAGCATAATTCATATAAGCTTAATTCCTGCTCATTTGTTTAAGGTTCAACAATATAGAGCAATGGAGAAAAGCAGCAGGAGCAAAGCAAAACACCCTCATGAAATCCCAGCAAGCCTTCCGCTCACTCTGGTGGAACAGCAGCCTCCCTCCCTGACTTCACAGGCACACTTATCCCCTTTTCAAGCTCAGACAAAAACACCAAGCGAATGAATAATTTCTGACAAGACACTTGCCTAGCAACTATGATTTGGCTATTCAAGTGTGGTAATTATAGGAAAAGTGAGTTTTAAAAATTTGAAGGAAAGAACGGCATGAGAATACACACTGGTTGGTTATTTTTCATCACAAATAGTGTCAGGTCAAAGTATTTACAGGGGAAAGCTGCAATCAGTGACACAACAAAAGGCATCTATGATAACATTTGGGGTAGAGGGTGCTCAACAGCACGCAGCCTTACAGGTAGCTGGTATGATTTTTGTTATCAAGCATTAGAGAAAAATAGTCAGTGTAAAGACTGAGTTGAACTGAAAGGCTATGAGTAAAGTTCGGCGGAAGCATTACCTTTCTTCTTGCATGCTACACTGATTTTTTTGTGCAAGCCAGTAAGAGAGTTCAGGCTTAACAAATAAGCGTTCACTTTTCCCCCCCGCCCCCTTGGGTCGTTACAGTAAAGTAAGAAGGCCGTTCAGCGTTGTACCTCATGTGCAGTATGCCGATGAGCGTGGCCGCCAGGTCGGAGGAGATCCTGCCCATGATGCAGCAGCGGCTGAGGCAGGCGAGCAGGCGGGCGGGCAGGCAGGGCAGGAAGTACACCAGCTGCACCAGCCGCCGCTGCGCCTCCGCCGGCAGCAGGACCAGGGTGCCATCTAGCGGATCTGCCGGCACACGGACACGGAATCACCGCGCTGGCACCGCCAGGTATATTTAAACACACAAAACCCGCCGCTGCGCTCCGTAACGATCCCACCCCGTTTCAGCCCTTACTATAAGGCACTGGACCAACCTCCGCTCCCGCCCCACGCACACAGACTTTACAGACGTTGCAACTTCCCTGCCAAGTGGCAGGCAAACTTCCATTATGCTCTAGTGTAAAACTCTTACCATAGATTCGAGCAGCGGTGGCTTGTAAACTTTGCAGTAATTCCTTGTTTGAACGAGAAGCAGCGGAATGAATGATATCAATCAGCTGATTCGAAAGCTCAGGGTTTCTCAAGCCAAGCAGAGCGAGCTGCTGGGGTAAGCCAGCCAACCAACGAGATAAAACTTTACTTCGACTTCTAAAGAAAGAGGGAAAATTAGTTGGGGAAAGACAAAAAACAAACCACAAAACAACAAAACCCACACAAACTTACTCTTTCCTGTCTTGACTAAATTGCTTTAATGTCAGTTTCAATTAAAATACAATAAACTGCAATACTGTGATTGCTGAGACTATGTCACACATTGGTGTGCTACTAGGGTTACATCAGAAGTATTTGCTTGATCCATAGGGTTCCACTGCATATTTTCAGCTCTTTCAGAAAGTATTGCCATGAACCGACTGTATGCTGGCAAAGCAACTTTTCTATTTATCGTTAGTTTTATCAATTTATATTTAATGACTTATGAGTCAGGCTAAAAAGCCAGGAGATTACTACACCCTGAACTATACTGAACCCCCCCAACCAAGCTGCTACTATTTTACACTAGACATCAGCAAAGGTGTAACTGAATTCAAGAGTCTTGTTCCTTGTCAATTCAGATACATCTTAAAGCAGAATGAAAAACCAGAACTGGTTGCTTTAAATAGGAGTTGATAACATTGGTTTACTTTCTTTCCCTGTTCAAGTGCTACAGTAAATCAACTATTTATGTCAACTGTAATCAAGTTTTTCCCCCCACCCCAAGATCCAAACCCCTTTTTTGTTTTTCAAGCAGAGTTTCATTTCTTAACCAGGAGCAATGATTTGAACAACAAAAAACCTAGCAATATTAAAAATGAGATTTTAAAAGGTGTTCAAAACAAAGTCTGTATTTACTTTTTTCTCCCTGAAGAAATTAACTTCGGTGATTGAAGACTACTGTTTTCCCTTTATTTTATTATATTTCTCTTTATATTACTTATAAAAAATACTGAATTACCGTAATGAAGGTTTTCAGGTAGGTCTTTTACTAACACTTTCCAAATTCTAAAGCAAATTTTTAAAGTGCTATTTAATAGTTCACACTAATTATAGTAAGGATTCCTGAATCCCAGTTATAGTTTTACCACTGGATTCCTATGGCATTCAGGCAGATTGCTTCAAACTTGGCTCTCCTAAGGTTCTACTATTAAGATACTTTCTTAACAGATCTGCTGCCTCCGTATATTCAAAACTACACCAAAAACTTTAGGGACCGAACCAAATCCCTACTCTATGCACAAGCCATACAGAGCTAATACAGTCATTTATGTTGCCCTGAACATCAAAACAGGTCATTACTAAGCTGCACGCTCCAAATGTAGAAAGCACAATAGAAAGAAAGCATGAAGGAAAACTAGAAGAATCATTTAGTTGAATTTGCAGGATTAGCAATTAGAAAAGGAAACCTGACATTAAAAAAATCAGAATGAAGAAATGCCAAGAGATAAACTTTCTACCATGACTTTTTAACGCAGAACTGAACATCAAGCTCCCTACTTCAAAATTTAATGGTTGAGCCCTCAACATTTTACAGTATAGCTCCACTAAACTCCTAATTTGCTCCTGCCAAAGCCAGATGCAGCATTACAGGTATGGCCTCACCAGTACTGACCAAAGACAGATAGGAATTTCAGTCAATCTGCAGGCCACGTTCCGCCTAATGTATCCCACGGGGGTTTGCCTTACACTCGTAGTGGGAATGCACAGTTAATTTACATTCAGCTTGGCACATACCATAACCCCCAGTTCCTCTTCTTACTATTGCTGCTGCTCAGCAAGCAAGGTATTAAGAAAGTGAACTGTGTCAAACACTCTCCCCTTGTCTATGCAGCCAGTCATTCATCACAGACGGTTATCGTACTGGTAAAGCATGATTTGCTCTTATATACATCCCAACTTGTTCCTGACAACCTGCTTGTCCCTCACATGTTCAGAAATTAATTCCAAGCCAGGAGACTGCATAATCTTTCCAGGGCCTGAGCGGAGGTTCATCATCCTGAAATTCCCCAGATTCTCTTCAAGACAGGTTACTAACGGTCTTTTTCCAGTCACACAGAACCTCCCCACAGTCACCATGGTTTTTCATGGATGACAAATGACGGCCTCACTTTCACATGAGACAACCTTTTCGACCTCCCTGCATACCTATCTGGGCCACGGATTTCACTGCATTCAGCTGACCAGATTCTGCACTTGCTAAATTTAAAGAGGCTTTTATTTACATAAGATCTTAATTGTCCTGCTGGAACATCTAGCTTTCTATTGACTTTATCCACTCTCAAGCAAGCACAACTGAGGTGTTTCAGTGAATTTAAACATCAGTGGAAGGAATTCATAGCTTAGGTTACCCCTGCCTGCAGCTCTTAGAATTTGGGCTTTCTTGGGCATAAATAACTACAAATTAAGTCAGCTGAATGAGGTATCAAATGATCTTGTTCAAACATTATAATACTTCCATGTATCTTCTGCTACAATTTACCATCTTAAAAATTTACACTTGCTTTTTTTCCACAACCTTAGTACATATACTACAGCATATAGAAGGGGAAAGATCAATCATAGGATTATTGTTTGAAACTGCCTGGTTCAATTTTACATTTAAAAAAATCCTGTTAGTAACAAAGTGCACCAATTTTTATTTTGCACAAATACATCTCTTCCTTCTTCAACCATTCCCTGAGGTAATCCAGTTCTTCTGGTTTATTTCTTATTTCCTCTGTTCAGCTAACGCTCCTGAACTATATGTCACCAGAAAGTTTATACTGGCACGCTCCTGCTTTGTGTGCTGGTCGTTAATAAGATGAAGTTCAGCGTCAAAAGAGCTCTGAGGAACTGCATAAGCAGACTCTCTCCAGTTTTACCACTCCCACTGTTGTCACCTACGTACTGTATCCCATTGTACACACTCCTATTCTTCAAGTGAGATGCCATCTTTTATACCAAATCCAGATTGCATTACCTGCCTTTAAAGGTAATAGTCAAAGTTCTTACTATGTGCATTTTCACACACCAGTTCTCTCAGGTTTCTGGAATAAAATTTACCTAATTCTCTTCTTTTACATTAATTTGGCAACATTCAACTCAATCTTGTTTATAGCACTGTTGTTTGCATATCTGAGGACTCTGGCCATCCCTTGTGTTTGACACGAATCATAATCATCTTACTGAAAAATGTGACAAGGTATTATTTATATTGAAGGTCAACTTGTATCCTAATTTCAGACCCTCTTCTTCCCTTATCCTATAGTGTAATTGTTAAGAAGCTTTTGCTATTTTCACATCCTATGAAAAAAAAAAAAAATCAGCTTGACATTTAGAATTGCTATTCCTAACCTACTTGTCAGAAAAATAAGAATGAAACCGGTTCGCTTATCAATTCCTTTTTTCCTAGTCTGTATAAGTGCTGTTTACCACAAACACTCCCTAAAAGCTGGTCAGGAAACAGCAAAAAAACCTTGGACAAGCTCTTCCCTCACCTAAGACAAATTTTTATTTATATTTATGACTTGATTCTCCAGGCCTCCTTCCACATTCCAATCAATTGGTCTGTTCATACTTCAGGAAACTTCACTAATTAGTTTTTTTTCTTTCCTTTAAATGTCTTCAATGCAGAGCTTTAAAACTTGACAACCCCCATTATAGACCTGCTTTTATTTATCCTTTCTAGCTCCAGCTGAAACAATCCTATAGACCAATCCCTGTCTTTCACAGGCTACAATTTCCATGACACCTTGGCTTATCAAATCAAGTATCATTTATAAACCAAAAGCATTTCATCAGCTTACTACTAAAGTGATGATTACATGAAAGAAGCTGCTGAGTGCAAATCAAGAAGTTGAAAGTAGGTCTTTGTGTCAACCAGAGTAGCATAATGATGATAAAAATTATTTTGTTTTCAAAAGACCTGACAAAATCCCTCACCAAAAAAAAAAAAAAATCACCAAAATCCCTCCCTTAGTTTTTAAGGAAACTAAGTATCCATGACATAACAGGGAAGGGCCTTGCATAGACAGATGGTGTTTAACAGTAGGAAAAGCCTGGAGAAAAGACAACTGAAGTGGGTGAGGTAGAGGTAGGCTCAACAGAGGTCTCAAAACACTTGACATGTACGTGGTGGATGGGAATAAAGTGTTTGCTTTCTCTTCCCACAGAAGAAGTGGGTGCTGGTATCAAATGAAGCTAGAAAAAGCCAGGATCAAAAAAAAAAAAGCCAAAAGAAGCTGGTCTTCAGACAGCTGAGCTTTGTCACTCCTTGCCAGAGGATGCTGCAGTTGCTCTTGATTTAGACCGATCCAATGAATGACCAGAAAAGCTCATGGAAAAGATATCCACTGAGTGATACTAACACACAGAAGTTCTACTCAGTGAGGAAGTACAGGCTTCAAATGGTTGGAAGCTTAGACCACCATGGAAAAGTAATTTTTGCCTTCTTCCTATAGCATCTCACATAGGTCAGTATTGAAGGCAGGTTGTGAGGCTAAATAGCCTTTTAAGTCTCTACCAGCATATATATATATATGTGTATACATACATACACACACTGTATATGCATATATGCAAGGGCTACGCATACGTGTGTAGCAATTAGAGGTGACAATAAGTAACATCCAGACCAAAATATTAATCGTGAACCTTGTAATTAACCAATCAAGTTTTCTTTCACAGGGCTCCTACCCGGCCTTTGAATCAGATACACCTAAAAAATAAACAGTTTCACTTAAATGTCCTTGGAAAATGTTCCAACACAAATTCTGCTCCTCTTAGGCTGCTCTTGACAAGCTTCTCAGAAAATAAGAAATAAAAAAAATAGGATGAGGAGAGCAGTCACAGGAGGGCTGGAGGAGCTATGACGTCAAACTGAATGGAACAACACGAATGTCTTCCAGGATCTACTGCACAGTCTGTATCTTGAAGAAATGGAAAAAACACCACTTGTTTCTAAAGGAAAGAAATGGATCAGTACAGTACACAAACATTATGTCATCTTAAAATGTCTTGTCAGACAAGTACAACTATCCTTTTTGTAAAGAATTTTTGAGATTTCATCCTTCTGTCACTACCATGTCACAATTCCATGTAGGAGACTCAGAGGAACAGCAGGAAAACTACTGCTATTTGTGATGTCTAAAGATAGAAAGTTAAAGCTTTCTAGATAGATGATCACATGAAACTGGATGAGAAGCTCAAGACTTCCAGGTAAGTACAAACAACAGTGGTTAGCTAACCTCAGGGAAACTAGTCAGTATAAAAAAAGATCTCTTTTTCATTCTGGGTGAAAAGAGGAGGAAAATGGGATATTCCCTAGCCTCTTTCCTGTCTTTGAAATTCCCGATACATTTTACAATGTTCATGGGGTAGCATTAGATATTTCTGGCTGTAGATCTAATTATGTGTAGCAGGCAATACCAGAGTACAAGACTTAACAAAGCAAAGGAGTTGCAGAAAAGAACGGTCTTCCCAAAGCTTGACTTCTGCTAGTGAATACCAGTACTTCTGGGGGCCCTGGTTTGATTCCTTCCCAGTAGCAGAAACAGGTATCATGGGTATGATCTTATGTCCCTTTGCAGTTCTAAACCGAGATAGGATTAAGGCAGCCTGAACTGTGTTGAAGGATTTTATGTAGCTGGAACCAGATGACTTGGCTGAAAAATACATTCTGGAAAAGTTAAGACTTGGAGACAATTTGGACAAATCTTATGATGAAAAAGTGTAACAGCAGCAATATAAAGAATGATGTCCTTACTTGAAGAAAGTCAGATATCTAATAGATGCATGAAACTGGGAACCCAAAGGACAAGAACATTTTCTTAAACCTAGTCTTTGTAGAATCACACACCCAAAACAATAGAAAAATACTTTTCTTAAAGAAAATAAGTATAAAAAGCTAGACATGGACTACCAGAAGCACCAAAGGCACTAAGTCACAAGTCCACGACCTCACACTGAAGTAATGGAAGGGCTCCATGGCTACAGCTGCACAATCTTGACACATCTTCTGACTACTATGCAGCCTAACAATGAGCTTGCAGCAATGTACTTCAAGTTAAATTCTACATCATTAAGATCTACCTAGTACTTATGTTAAGGAAAAAGGACAACTGAGCTAATACACATCTCAATTTCACAACGCACAGAGAACCTAAATTTCAGTGACACAGTGCCAAAACAGATTCAGAATGAAGTTTTATAGTATCTACATAGAAATTCAGTTTTCTAACTTTTAAAATAAACATACTGTGTTGAAATTAGAAAGAATAATGGGGTTTACCTGATTCTTTGAGTCCTCAAATCTTCTTTTTGGTAAACTCTGCTAAAAAATTTCAAAAGCAATGTACGAACAGGAAAGAGGAGATTCCTTTGCTGGTATAATGTGTATACTGCTTTTATCAAGGGTTCTGTTGCCACTAGAAAGAAAACATATGAAAATCTGAAGTAGTGCTTCTTCTGATTTTATACATACACAGAAGAGCTACAATCTGTATATGCAACTATGTACATTTAACTCTACAGGGAAGTATGAAAATGTTTTAAAACAACTACTGGGATAGACTTCTAAACCATTGAAGCATCACCTTCCTGTGCAGTTTGTGAAAGAGCCACATGAATGGAGACCCCACGTAAGTGAAAAACTTCACAGATATTCTTGAGACAAGGCAGTGAACAGGTTGCAACATAGCTGAGAACCAATAAATTTCCACTGCTATCTTCCACATCCTCTTCCCCTAGTGCAGTAATGCCACATCAATCTTCTCCTTTACTCACCCAAACCTCACTGCCATGGTGCCTTCAGTTCTCTCTATACCATCTGCCTCTCCCTGCCACACACACCAGCCATATCAGCTCTCCGTGTCTTTGAATCAGCTGGCTCCAAATCACATTTGCTGATTAACCAGAAAATACATACCTTGAGAGGCTATTGGTAAGCAACTACAAAGAGAACTGCTAAACTCACACTGCAACCTTTTCTTCTCTGAAGCTCTCGTCAGCTGTATATTATCACCAGACTTAAAACAATGTATGAAAGTGCTACCCTTATGTCAAAGTTTGCTAAAACCAGTCAGCAAGTGCAGAGTTATAGCACACAGAGAAACAGACCAAGCATTTTCTTTGGAAATCAGAACAAACAACTAGAAGTGTGGGGAAAAAAAAAAATCATACAAATATCTGAATTCAGAGAAGACAAGCCTGAAAAGAATGGGGAAGCATCTGAAAAGTTAAGAAATATATGAAGGGTATGAGACTTGATTCAATTTGCCTCAGAAGAGCTTGGGGTCCAGAAATGAATTAATTTCTGTCAAGATGTACATAAGTAGCAGCAATCATTTCATTATCTTCATAAACCAAGACTGGGAAACCTTGTCTTTCCACTCAGGTGTACACAGCAGTCTTAGTAAGTTATGTATTCAAAAACAGATATAATTTTGTGTTCCACACTGAACAGAGCTACTTCTGCCCACAGCTACAAGAATGCTCCATCCTAAAAATGATTCCAGATCCAGTCAGGGGCTGCTCTTCATCAGTAAAACACTTACCAGGGAACATATTTAAGTTATCATATAGGGATTCTCACTAAAACACACACTACAAAAAGCACTTGAAACGGGTCATACTCAAGCGTAACGCAGGGAGTCATTTAGAAGTTGAAATCTAACATATTTGTCAACAGAAAAATACATCAAATATTAGAATGGATTTAAATTAAGATAAATTAGTAAGTTCGTTGCATCAGGAACATCAACTTACTCAATTCACATACTCTTCAGGTAGAGATTCGTATTGGACAGCATTTCTAAAACAGAACACTTGCTTATTCTTAACTGAGTAACAATTAAACCTTTATGTAGTTTTTAGCTAATTGATGAACTGTGAACTTAAACAGAATAAGAAATAAATATTCTAAGTGTGTAGAACATTCAGCCACCTTCCAATAAGTCTCTGTGGCACATTCAGTAAAGCAGATCCTGCTAGTTGAATTGCGTCATATGAACATGATGAGTTTAAAAACAGAAGCAATTTAAAAACGTATTCTTAAAAGGTAGTACTTAAAAGGTCCACATTATACAGACTTCCAAAATGCAGCCAAAGTCTCCATGATTTTTAACATATTGCAATTTTAATTGGCAGATGGCAAGCCTCCTTCTGAAGTACCTGAGTGTGCTCTCTTCGTTACTCGAAGAAAAGTTATCAAAAATGCATCTAGTAGGCAAGCTGCTGCTAAAGTCATACCTGAGAGATCCAAGAAAGGAGCTGACCTCCTAATTACAGAGAGCAGATCCAGAGTTTGATCTTAAACAACAGAGAGAAATCTTCAGATGTCACAGCTCAAAGCTCTTCTAGACGTCCACAAAAAAAGGTGCATTTCACCCCAGCATAAATAGCTACTCAAAATAGGCAATTCTGAAAAATGCGACTGCAAAGATACCACTGTGCTATTGTGGCATAATGCACAGGAGGTTGACGATGGTCTTACTTAATCTCTCATTCATCAGCTCTTTGTTTTTTCCATCTAAATTTCCGCTCTTTTGATTTCCATTGCGTTCTAAAAAAAATTTTATTGTAATGATTTTTTTTTTTTTTTTGCACTGTCTTCCAAAAAAGACATACCCTTCCAGGCCTTTAATCTCAATGTCAGATATGTTTTAAACAATTCAGAGTTATTTTTTTTGTATGTACCATCTTTTGCAGTATCATTTGACACAATAAAGTTCAGAATTTCTAGAGCACCATCAAATTAAAAAAAAAAAAAAACAAACCACCACAACATCAAGGAAGGAAGCTTTTCTTCCTCCACAGAATCACACAGTAGTTGAGGTAGGAAGGGACCTCTGGAGATCATCTGGTTCAACACCCCTGCTGAAGCAGGATCACCTAGATCTGGATGCCCACAACCATTGTCCAGACAGCTTCAGAATATCTCCAAGGATGAAGACTCCACAACGTCTCTGGGCAATCTGTGTCAGTGCTTGGTCACCCTAACAGTGAAAAAGGGTGTTCCCGATGTTCAGACAGCATCTCCAGGGTTTCAGTTTGTGCCCATTGCCTCTTGGTCTTGTCACCGGACACCACTGAAAAGAGCCCGGCTCCCTCTTTGCACCCTCCCTTCAGATATTTAAACACATTGATGAGACGCCCCCTGAGCCTTCTCTCCTCCACACCAGTCCCAACTCTCTTAGCCTTTCCTCATAGGAGAGATGGTCCAGTGTATTCACCATCTTTGTGGCCCTTCGCTGCACTCTCTCCAGTGTGTCCATGTCTCTCTTGTATTGGGGAGACCAAAACTGCACACAGCATTCCAGGTGTGGCCTCACCAGTGCAGAGGAGAAGGGAAGGATCACCTCCCTTAACCTGCTGGCAACACTCCTCCTAATGCAGCCCAGGACACCACTGGCCGCCTTTGCCACAAGAGCCCATTGCTGGCTCATGTTCAACGTGGTGTCTGCCAGGACCCCCTGGAATACTGGATATTGGAAATATCCAATAGAATATTGGAAAATATTGTACAGCTGCTTTCCAGCTGGTCAGCCCCCAGCACATACAGATGTATGGGGTTGTTCCTCCCCAGGTGCAGGGCTTCTCTTTGTTGAGCCATCAGCCCATTTTTCCAGCATGTCAAGGCTGTATTTCCTCTACAGCTAGTAAATGAACCATAATCTGACATCTAATCAAGCTTTTAGTACTGCACAAGGATTATCTTGAAGGGATAAGTTGTCCACACAAACAGATACAGATTCATGAGGTAAAGATATTCCTACTTGCAGTGAAATTCCTGAACCTTTACAGGATCATCAGACAAGATTCATACATATTAATCTTTTGGAATTAAATTTCAACTTTTTTTAAGCTTATTTATTTTCCACATTCCTGAAGAAAATTATTGCACTACAATGGCCACTTTAGTTAGAAAAACACCACCCATTATCCACTATTTGGTAAATGTGGTAGACAAAAGAAAAATCAATGTTTCATTACAAGGAAAAGCACGAAGTATCTGATGTAACAGTCTAACAATAGTTTGGAAACTATTTCCTGAGTAGTAACTCTTCTGCTTTAGCTCAGCTGGTAAAACAGGCACATCTCTGACTGGACTATTATATGCCTTCAACAGGAAGCTAAATTTGGAGTGCAGACAGGAGTGATTACTTACTGTCTTTGTCACTGGGGACATAGGAATAGACAGATTCCTAATTAAAATGGATTTGGAAGGAGATACAACTAACTACCAAAATATATTTGAGGGACGTTTGACATCTTTTCATCTTACAACACTAACAATAAAACCTGCTGCTAAGGGCAAAGCATTTTCTATAAACTCTACTTGGCTGTGGAATTCACCTCTACCAGACTGGTAAGACACAATAGACCCCTACCACCTTTAGACTTACTGAAAAATTCCTTTCTTAAAGAAGTCCTACATCAATCCCTTAACAGATATATCAACCAAGGCCTCATCTGGAACACAACTGAATAGTACTTGAAAACAAAAAAAAAAGCCAAGCCAAAATACTCAAATACTGTACTGGTCCTGCAAGTCACAACTGGAAATATGTTTCCTCTTGGAAAATAATTCAAATCAAACCCCTTGGAAAATATTCTACAGCAGCTTCCATCAGAACTATCTTGGCATTTCATGTCATCACAGAACTAGAACGGTCATCTGACAGTACTCAAAGGAGTCTACCAGCTATGTTAATTATTTAAGACTCCAATTCTTATTTAGAAGTATCATGTACCTCTACATCCTAGTAAATTTTTTTTCAATGAAGAAAACACATCTCCCCATTCATAAGAATATCTTAAGTAAAACCAGAAAACAAGACACACAAATATATTAATACTTTGCATATCAACAGTATGAATCTAACAGTATTCCTAAAAATCAAGCAGTTTTCAATGCTACACGCAGGGATATGACTATAACATTCAATTTATCTCTACAGACAAAATACATTATGATGTCACAACTGAGGATATAAGATGAATTGACCTGAAAATGCTAGAATAACTCAAGCTCTTTGACAGTGCATAATTTTGCATTCCAGAAACTACTCATATCTTACCTTTGTTTTGCTGTATTTGCATTAGTCTCCAAGTCACACCAAGCAATCTGTTCACCTGCTTGCTATTCAGTTTGCTGCCATCCTGAAGTGTATCTGTTACAAATTTCCTTATCATGTCCAGCCAACCAGAATCCATCTGAAGTGTTGAAGTGCTTGCTAGTGAAACCATTATGTCACACAAGGTTAAGTTCAGTAAGAGATGGTCTACACTGTTTGAGGATGTCATACAATACTTGTTGCTAAGGGGAAGAGCGTAAAAAAGGAGAGAAAGATATTTTTAAAAGAAGAAAATAGTTTGTGTCTTTTAATAGTCGTTACTTCGGTAGAAATTATACTATGTAGAAAAAAAAAATTTAAGTGTTAAAATTTTAAAGCCAATACACATTTTAAAAGTCTTTGTATTTGTCATGTGGGTACTTGAATATTTGTTTTCTGCCACCAAAATGTGTATTTCTTTATAGTGGCAGCGACAACCAAAACTCTAAATTGTATCTCTATGTCTGGTTTCTCCTGTTCCAGTCTCTTCTGTGTTTCTTCTGTGAGGAATCACATGGATTTTGTCATTATCACACAATAACAAAAAGCACCATGAACAGCACAGAGAAATCAATTTGTGTACTTTTTTCCAAACTCATGTGGAATCAGAAACACATTTTTCACCATCACAATATTCTGCAGGACCACCCTGTTGTCCTACAGAGGTTTGAAAGACAAAATTAAGGGATATCAAGAAATGAATCAAGGGTATTGCAACTTGACACATAATGTTACAACCTCTCTACTTCGATTAGCCACTCATAGTATAAAAAAAATAAATCACAGCATTTATCTACAGAAAGCTGCAAAATATGAATACCGACATTCAGAACACAAAAGTAGAGCTGTGAAAAGAAAACAACAAAAAGCACTTTAACCTGCGCTAATGTAAGTGTAGTCACCCTTCAGTTCAGAGTCAACCACTACAATGTGAACAAATACATCTCAACCTGTGGACATCACTTACACATGGCATAAATGCTAATAACTTTTTCATGTTCAGAATATGTAGATACTAAGTGCCATCAGTAGTACTGTGGTAAAGTTCTGCAACATTTTGCAAACTGGAGAAGAAAGCCTCAAAATACCATGCAAGTTTTCCAAATGCAGGCCTTTAACCCAATATATTTAGTAAGCAAGGAAAACAAAAGCAACTGTTTTTATTTTCATGGTATGAAGCTAAGTTTCCAGAAGTCTTGAAGTAACAGTCAAAATAAAAATACAAAAAAAAGAGAGTTTCACAGATTGTTTCTCCTGCATATATCCAACAATGTATTTATTCTGAAGTGCAAGAATGGGGCAAAACTTAGTAGCAAAGTGCAGAAGGATCAACAGTAGTACAGTTAGTCAGGGTGTCATCTACGAGACAAGATGGTTGCATTGCCTAACTACTAATTCTGAGATTTTCAGTTTCAAGGAAGGGTGTTCAGGTCAAACCCCAGAAAAGCAAACCACCTTTTGGCTTTATGAACTTAATGGGCAAGACTTAGTTGAAATGAAAGCACTTAATGAAGAGCTCTGCTGTACCTCTGATCTATGTGCCCTTCCAGGAAGAGAAAATGCAACAGTCAAAATATCAAATAGGATTTCAGCCTCAAGTATACCTGCACCATGGTAGACCCTTAGTATAAGAAAAGCTGCTTCTGCTACTACAGCTCAATCTCCAGTGGCACAGTTTGAAAGTATTTGAAACCAAGACAGACACCAGCTGATTCTTATTGTACATACACCAGTGTTGTACATGGACAGCAATGGCACAGAATGACTCCAGAACAAACTTTGCATGAATATAGCCTCACATCTGGCAGCTGACAGGGAAGACAACCTGCTACAGGCCTGTACCAGAAAAAGAAAAAAAGGTGCACACACTCTGCCAGCTCAATAATGAAGAAATGTGAGTGTTTGACTTCTCCTGCTCCAGTACTGCTTTGCCATACAGGATAGGCACAATGTGTCCCACCTCCCCTCCCAGTTGTATTTATCCAGCCTTGTTATATAACTATAGAAGAGTAGATGTGGGTGGAAAAAAAAAGTTTTTTACTATGTTTTGATGTAATTCAGCAGTCAACTGAAGAAAACATGCAGAAATACAAAACTAGTCTAACACAAATCACCATTTAGCAATATGAAAATTCCAGATCAAGCATTCAATACAATATTTTCACTTCTCTAAGATAGCATTTTAATTTCTGCTGGATGCTATTCAGATGACTTCCTATACAATACTTTTACAAAGAACCACCAAAGGTTCTCAATCCAAAGCAATGCTACCTCCCTATAAAAGCTTCTCTACAGATCTTCAAGCAATACCCAATGTTTTCTTTTCCAACATTAAAAACTTAATACTGGATAAAGCATATGACTCACATTGTCTCACTTAGGAAATTAAAAGCTGTAACATCACACTGATTTTATTCTTACCCTTTGCATGGATCTTTCTTTTTGTGCTTTACTGTTTCTTGTAAAGAATAGGGAAAATGGCGCATGAAGTGGTGCTTGAAATCAACAAGATAATTCATTCGAAGCCATAGTTCCTGTTACGGAAAGCAGATGACAGACAGAGAACACAGTAGTAAGTGAAATACATCAATGCAATCATCTTCCAAAATCCATTACTGGAATCAATGGAAGACAGGAACTTTAGCTTCTGTTTGCAAGTTTTCAAATATATTTATGTTCAGAAGTAAATGTGAAGTCCTGTGCATGAACCTAAAGGTCCACAAAACAAGGGAGTAAAATTATAAGTCAAGGTTGAGTGACAATATTTAATCCAAACTGGACCAGTGTATTTTCTTAGCATGTATTAATGCGGGTATATTCAATATTAAACCAAGTGAGTTACAGATGTGAATTGAAAGTGGTTTTATATCAATTTATCACGGTAAAGTCAGAGTGAACTCTAATTTACTTGCAGTGACTGTCCTGAGTTTTCCATTAAGACATATTCTGACACTGCCTTCATCTTTCCCCATCATTAGTGTACTTGCAGTTCAAAGTCCACTGACAAAACATTTTCCAGTAGAAAGGCCACCCTTACAGAAAAAGGATTTTTTTTCAGTATTTAAAAATAATTTTACTTTGTGGGTTAGCAGACACTCAGTCACCATTCCACAAACTGTCCAGCAGAACTCACCACAAAAAGAAGCCTGCATTGCTATGAAATTGGCCAGGCAGAATTATCTTTTTGATATTCAAGTAATAAGTACAGAGAATGACCATTAAGCTATTTCAAAGATTAACAGGTTTCCACTAAGCATATTCACAGTGGTTTTCCAAAGCGTCTCTAATAACCACTTTGGACCATAAACCCAAGGGCTATTAAATAAGCAAAGCTTCCATTTTCAAACTGAGCCGTTTGAATGCATTTTATACATAAAGGTGACTATAAAGGGAAAAGTAAGATGAACAGTTTATATTATCTAAAATACAATATGCTCAAAAAAAGTTGTATAGACATCAGATTTCCCCCCCCCCCCCCCCAAAAAACATCCTAAGGTCATCATGCAACTGCATGTACCTAAACCAGCTACATCTTGACACAGGAGTACCTTTCATGTGACTGAAATGCAGGCACCCCATTGTTAAGGGCAGCTGCTTGGCAGTACCCAAAACAAGGCCAGGGGCAGCACGCTGCCCCTCGTATTTACCTGGCCAACAGCCTGCTGTCTGTCTACTTCCAAGAGGCCTTCTAGAAAAGATCAAAGGGGAACAGGGTGTTTTGTTTGGACACACTGAATTCATCCCTCAGGCTGTGTATGTTGCATAACTCTGGTCTAATGGAATGATTCCACAAATGACTTCCAACAATTATTCTACACATAGATTTTTGTTTAGCAAATGGACCCAGTCCTATACACAGGTAGAACA